CTGAATGTACCCCCCGGGCGCCTTATACTGGGGCAGGCGGGGCCGCGAAGCGGAGAGCCCGTAGCCGGGCGCCTGTGTCGCCGAGGCACTACCCGAAAGACCTTCAAATACAGAGTTTTATACAGAAATATCAAATATATCTATAAATATCATTTGTCTTAATGGAACAGCGGTAACAGTGATTTATCCAGGTGATTTGCGATTAGTTTTTTTCTTATTTCGTTAAAAAGGTACTCCCCTAGGGCATTTCTTCTGGTTGGTGTTAGGGGACTAAGGATCTCTGTTACCTTTCTGGAGTGGGGCAGAGGCTGTTGTAGCACACAGTGTGGTGTCACCACAGACCCGGCTATCCTTCCTTCCTCTTGGGGAACAACTTGATTTCACCCAGCACAATGCATTTTAATGGAAATAAAACCATGAATACTTGTTTTCACCCCAAGTGTCGCCATTCATAGCTTCAGAGAGTATGCTTATTGCAGGCTTTTTCTGTCAATCTGTCTTGGAGAGGCATCTGGGTGCGACAGAAGTCATTTCCTGAGCCTTGGTGGTAGCTGTATGTGTTTTGAGATGGAGGGACAGCTCCAAATGTCTGTGAATCTAGCATCAGCTCCATAATATTAGTAAAAATATTATGCATTTGAATTTCCCAGATTCCTCTGTTGAGCTGGTAGCATTTTATTACTACTGCCTTCAGCTCTAGTCCGTTGGATTTTGTTCATTTGTTTTTTTTTTTTTTTAATGGATAGTAGAAGAGCATGCACATGTTAAAAGTAATAAAAATCAAAGTACAAAGGCCAGATCCTTCTTATGATAATCATAATAATTACATTGATAAGACTACATGCAAGTAATGCATGGAGCTATATAAATCAGGTTAAAGTACAACCCCTAGTAAGAATGGTACGGTATACATCTGGCAATGTCACCAAACCCCCAAGTGTTCATACTAGTATCCAAATACAGTAAGGCCAGCTGCAAATAATGTTTATATTTTAATTGAACTGCAGAAAGGCAAGAGAATTTCAGCATAACTATAGGTAGTAATCTCACCTGCGAATGGTGAGGAAATCTATTTATTCAGTGGAAATAAAATTGTTCTACAAGAATGGAATTTTGTATTAAAAGAGATACTTTTTGGCTTACATTGAGTTATTATTCTTTCCTTGTTTAGGAAACTTCCTTTTCCTTGTGTACTGGAATCATTTGGGGATGATTCGCTCTGGAAGTGTTGACAACATTTAACTGTGATATCTAATGTGTGTTACGATGACTTCTATTTTGCTATTTCATTGTGTTGAGCTGAGGCTGAGTGGGTGGCAGCATTACTTTCCACTGCAGGAAACAAAAGTGGATCCATCATCTCTGATCTGTGATGGGTGACTCTTTACATGCTTCAACCTGCGTTACTCCTAATTAATAGGGAGTATTAATGATAATTATATCATTATCAGCAGTATTATTAGTAGCATTAATAACATTGGGAAGGAATCAAATAAAGTCAAATGATCTGCATTTACATTGGAGCTGTTTGATGGGATACTATTTTAAATAAATAAATTTTTTTTAGCTTATTTCATTATTGTACAACAAGTAGCTGGTATCAGCTTCAGCAGTTCAGCTTGTGGCGGTGCTCAGAACCTGGCAGTAAATCTTTTATCATGTGTTTGTTTTATTCACTCATTGACTATACTGAAATTCTTCCTACAGGTGGAAAAGAAAAAAAGGCCAGGTAAGTCCTAGTCATAGCCGATAATGAAAATAGAAAAATAGAAAGGATAGTAACGGTGCTTAATTATCAGTGCTCTTTTTCCAGTATTTCCTGGATATTGTCATTGATGTCACTATCGTATTCTACCTGGGTTAAAAGATTTGTTTGAGACTTGGAAATTGCTTCATGTATCTCTTGACTGTATCAATAGTGAAGAAAGATGTTAATTTTTATGGTATGAATAATAATCTGACTCCTGGAAAGCAATCCATCTCTGAACGTCTGTTGCAGCAAGCCAGGACCCGTACTGCTCTAGTTAGGTGAATATTACAGACAGGGCATTTATTACGAGATTCAGTGGCCTTGAGTTAAGCGGTGGTAGCTCAAGATTTTGTCAGAGACTTTTCCACACAAAACCACTGTTGAGCAAGAACTTGTGTTCTCTGCTGCAAACGTTTACAGCAACAGGACAGAAAGGTCTCTACAAAGTGTCAATATGCAATGCTCTACGTTTCTGAAATACTAATGTGTGCAAGCAGTAACTCATGAGTGCTATGCTACTTCTACTTTGTTCAAGTATCTATTTCACATGAACTGATCACACAAATAAGATATGATGAATTGGCTTTAGGTATAACATAAATGTTCACGTGAAACAAGTGTGCAGAATTTGACCGCAAGTTTGGAAGTTCATTGCTTATCTACATTACTCAACCAAAGAGTACGACTTCTGGCAATGCTCCAGCCACTTAGGTGTGAACTCGTTCCAGAACTGCACTTCTTCCAAAGGCATTTGCTTTTACAGCGTGGATTTATGTGCACTTGGAAACCAGGCTGCTGCGCATTGCATATTCCTATTTTCTGAGTTTTCCAAGACTTGATTCTAAATCTGAGTTCCTCGTAACTGGGTTTCACAGTGAATTTATGTATGGGTTACACAGTACAAGACAGTTATTTGCATGGGAGAAATGTAGAATAAATTCACCCAGTATGTAGTTTCACAACTTCTTCATGCTAACAACAGCTCTTTGTACAAAAATATGCTATTTTTAACACTTTGTAATGCTGATGTGAGTGGAAATACATCTTTTTTCCCACTTCTTGAAAAATTTCTCGTTTATTCTGGCAAATGCAGCTATGCCCCAATTCAAAGCCTGTTCGAGCTAGTGGAAGAAGTGGAATGCGCTTGGAACAAACTCTTGTGTGGGTACAGACTGGAGGCCTAATTCTGCTCCCTTGAAGCCAGTGATGAAATACGACAATACTGCTCAGTTTTAGTCAACAGACTCGAATGAAGAGCAAAGTCTGATCTCAGAAAATTACAACATATATTAAGTGGATTCAAGTATTTTGAGACAAGTACTCCACATGACTGTTT